AAAGATTATGATAGAGGTGGAGATGGTTCTGCTTTTAATGAGTCGCATGAAAGATGAAATGCTTACTATGAAGCAGAGACAGAGCGAATAGCAGAACAGATGATAATGAATATTAAAGCAACGTTTGCTTATTGCGGAATACACCCCGGTGCTGGATACCAGTATGAAAATCCACCCCTAGACCCTAATTTATGAGCCCCTTATTCTAGTTGGATGGAAAGAATAAGAAAAACTTGAGGCAAAAAAGAAGACAAAGACGGTAAAGAAGTAAATGCTTTCATAGATAAATTAGAAGCCGCCGCCAAAGAGTTTAGTAGAAAGAGAGAAGAGGAACGAGAAAAAAGATACGAAAATACAAGAAATAATTCCAATTTTCCACAAAGTAGTTATAGCAGTGAAAATTCCAACTACTTAGAAAACCGGTTCTATAAAATTTACCAAAAAGGAAAAAAATATAGTCGTCTTGATTTAATGTCTTTGCGAAGTATCATTAACGATATTGAAAAAGTAATTGGTTTAGATATAACTCTACTCAAATTAAATGTCCACTTTTAGAAAATAAATATGAAATCAAAAGTAAAAGTAAATAGAAATATTTTTATGGAACAACAAGAACTCACTTGCGTCTGTTTCCATTGTCAAAAACCCTTTAAAATCAATTATAATCGGGGGGTTGGTATGCATTCTCAAAAAAATTATTGATTATATTGGGTAGATGGAAATTGAAACTATAAAGAAATTCGCAGGAAACCCGAAAGTGAAAGAGGAGAAAAGATATGCGATGATTGTTTGAAGGATGTTTATTTAACTAAAAAATGGGAGTTGCTTGACCAGATAAAAAATAAGAGTCGTCGTCAGACCCTCGCTAGTTATATATATCACAAAGTGATATAAAGTTGCCTAGGTTTTCTTTTTTTATTTATTTTGGTTCCACAAGAGACAATTAGGAACTATAAAAACTAATTATATTTATGAATAGCAAAAGTTTTCAAACCCTAGTATCAAGGGAAATAAATAGGATGCTCACCATTGGGCAAATTGATAAAAATAGGTGAATGATTGATGGTATTCCTTGTCACCCAATGGACGAAAGAGGCAATCTTAAATGATTTTGTATGGGAATGGGAAGAAGTTTAATAATTCTTCACAATGAGGAAACCAATGAGGTAGAAGGTGCAAGATATTATGATGCTTGTGTAAAAACTATGATAACTTATAGAAAAACATTTTAAGAATTATAAATTATGCCAAAGAAAATATTCAACTGCAAAAAGTGTCAAGAAGAGTGGGATAATTTAAAAGACTGGGAAGTCAAGAAGAGAGATTTAATGGAAAGAGATGCCGATAACTATTGTCTAAACAAACATCAGGGCGTTGGTTCTTTTGTTGGTCGGGAGGAATTGTGTTCTGAATGCAAAAATGCATGACTTTACAATAAGGGTAATGGTTGTGATGATTATGACCCTAATTGAAAACCTTCGGAGGAACAGCATAGTCAAGTCGCATGTTTACAACTCCAAAAAGAAAAACTAGAAAGATTAAGAAAAAACAAAAGAAATGGATACACCTTAACTCCCGAAGACCAAGCCGAATTAACTCGACTGGAACAGAAACTAGGTGTGGCAGGCACCCCCAATTATTCTCCTGCCAGTGAAGATAATAAAAAAGAATTAGAAGACCAGATAAATACACTTTTAAAAGGGCAAAAAGTATGAAAACAACTTCCAAAAAATCATCCCAGTTTTAACGAATACGATAGGCAACTAATAGAAGAAAGGTTAAACAAACTTAAAAAGGAATA